GGGGCAGCTGCCCCCCTCGGCCCCCCGCCACCCCATCCCTGGCCTTAACTGGCTCTCCCATGGCGAGGTTGCCCGGAGGGTGAATCTTACCTGGAAGCCGAGGAGGATGCAGAGATACCAGGGCGGCCTATCCTCGATGCTGTACAGTAGATCCATCCCCGTCGTCTTGCGAGCCATGGCAGCAGCAGGCGGCTGTGACCAAACGACAAACTCGTTAGTGTGTGCTAGTTATCACTCACGCAGCTCCGTCGACTACTTATGCGATTATGGCCAGCCGTGAACACGTATATTCGTGCTGGTCGTTATCGCCGAATCGCCTTCTTGAGGAAGGCGCGGTCAGGTCACGCTGCGCTAGGCTTAGATACAAATATCCGGATATTTTTGGAGATATTTAGAAGTTTTCGGGATATTTAGAAAAATCTGGATATTTAGAAAATTCCTTAATATTTAGAAGATAAAACACAATTTTCTCAAATATTAAGAATTTGTAAGGATGAGTTTGTCCTTTTCTGTTAAGAAAACCCATCCAGCGGTGCAAACTGCATGCAGTTCCCCTTCGTACACTCAGGATACCACTGCCACAATGATAGCACTATTTTTAAAGTGGGCGGAGCTCCGGGGAAATCCAGCAAATGAAGATTCGTAAACAGCGTATGATTTGAAATAGGTAACTGGGTGCACAATCTAACTATATAACTGAGACATTTAGAAAAGAAATAGATTTTAGAGATTTTTTTGAGAATTTCCGGAAAAATGTTTAGGCCATTTTTCGAGATATTTGTATCTAAGCTGCTGCACGTAGGCCATATGATAACATCAAGAGCGTATAAAGAAGGAGAGCGTACTACGGTGAAATGCTGAAACCATGTTGCAGTTTTATTTTGACGATTCTTTATTTAACGTATTATTGATCAGCTGTCCTACCTTGTTAATATAAAACAAACCGCATGTCCCTACGATGCCCCTACGCTGAGATAATGAGCGGTGAAAATCTGGTATTTTCGCCGAAAACCGACTGGAGATCAGTGTTTACCGCGACTGTCTCTCGTTTTGTGGCCAGT